ACTAATAATTTTAAGAGTTTAAACATTGATCTCATACTTTTATTTATTCTACTGTTAGTATTCTAGTTTTGTCAATTGAACTAATAATGTCCTTTATAGAATTGTTTTTTCTCTCTGTGCCAGTCTAAGATCAGGTATTGGCATGTCTCTTCTTAAATCTGGAATATTCCAATGTACATTTTTTTGCCTTTTATAACATTGACATTTTAAAATAATACCGTATTTCCTCTTTTTTTTAGGTTTCAGGACAGGGTTAGGGTTAAGGACAGGGTTTGGGTTAGGTTAGGGTTAAGGACAGTTATAGGATAAGGGTTAGGGTTAGAGTTAGGATTAGTGTTAGGGACAAAGTTAGGGTTAGGTTTAGGGACAAGGTTAGGGTCAGTATTAGGGTGAGGGTTAAGGCTAGTGTTAGGGACAGAGTACAGGGTTAGGGTTAGGATGAGGTTACGGTTAGAGTTAGGGACAGGTTTAACAATAGGGACAGGGTTAGAGTTGCTGTTAGGGTTAGGGTTATTGACAAGTTTATGTTTTGTTTTGTTTTGTTTTTATTGTTAGTTTCAGGTGTACAGAACAATGCAATAGTTGTCCTTTTCACCCTTCGCACAGAAACAACCCCCCTTCCCCATCTACTGCCCTCCCACCCCAGATATCATGCTTAACTATTACAATTCCATTGACTCCATTCCCACACTATACTCCATGCCCCATGACTATATGTATATATAATAATGGTTGACATACATTATTATTCAACATCAGCTTCAGAAATACACTGCAGTGGTCAGGCCTCTACACCAAGTATGAAGTGGTCTCCCTAACAAGACATGAGTCCATCTGGCCCCCTAAAAAATATTTACAACATTATTGATTATATTCCCCAGAATGTTTTTTCTATCCCTGAGGCCATATTGTAGTTACCAATTTGTATTGTCTCATCCCTTCCCCTTCTCTTTCATCCCCACCCCCTCCCAACTAGCAACCCTCAGTTTTTCCTGTGTCTCTGAGACTATTTCTGTTTACATTTCTCAATTATTAAGTTTTTCAGAATCCACATGTAAGTGAGATCATATGGTA